TACAGCATCATGAGGATATGAAAGATATGACACACGAAACTAAAGCCTTTCAAGCCCAAATCTGAAAACGACACCGTATCTGATTTCTGCATGGTCGGTTGGTCACATATAATTATAATAATTATATTGTATATGTGATTAACAGCTAATAACCTCTACTGATTGGCGCAAACCAATCAAAAGTCTACCTAATCTCCTCCTTAGTTAATCATTATTAGAACAATTAGTCTACGTCCAGAACCTAATCCAAAATCCCTTTTAACTTTAACTTTTTCTTCTTTCTCACAACATGAAATGAAACATACTAGTATAAACTAGTATGATAATTTTATAAAATTAAAAAACAGTACGCACATGATAATGTCGGATCAGCAGTCCAGCATTGACCTTGGTCGATCGATTCAGAAACACGAACCCGAACGCACCACCCTAATCTTAAGATTAGTGTTTTTTATAATAAATTTAACACGGTCGGTCCAATATTCGACAGTACCTATATACAACATGGGTAAATCAGAAGTGTTTTTTTTGTTTTTTTTGACGTAATCAGAAATGTAATGGTAGAGTTTTTGTTAGACAACTTAAGTCTATTATGATTTATATTTTTTTTAAAATTGTTGAGTCTTTAAAGTGGTGAATCTTTAAAAATTTCGGCTAGCCGTCGAAGGGAAATGATGTTCACACCTACACAAGGCAATGAGTCTTGATTGATGAGAAATGGAGAAGTTGACTTGAAAGTTGAAAACAAACAAAAAAAGTGATGATAAATTAAACAAAAAAAGGACGGAAACTGAATTGCGTAATAAATGAGGCGTCGTTTTCGCAAAAACTACTTTTGGTCACTATGCAATAAGAAGTTTGGGTTTGTCACTAATGGAGTTGTGACGCGGTCTCCATTGTTATGACATTTATCTTTTTAATTCATTTGATTTTGTGTAAATTGATAAACTGATTAAACTATATATGGCTCATATTTGTTGAAACAACACGGTAGGTTTCGAATATATATAATATATTGTGTTGTTTTTATCGTTTTGTTTTTCTAAAACCTCATAGATTAATAACCTAAGACGAAGTCTTA